GCCATCAAAGTTCTGAAACATTGTCATCTTGTGGCAGGTTGAGGACATAACAAGGAAATAACTGCTTCTCCAGGGTACTTCCCTGACCCTGGAAACTACCAGAATGCCTGTGGAAATTTTGAGTGCAAGGCACATGCAGAGATTGCTGCAGGGTAGTTTCCCCAGTGCCACACTGTGGGCAGACAGGGACAAACTAAATCACAGCTGTCTTACATACGGGATCAGGTCTTCAACTTGTAGCACTGTGTGTTCATTTCAGGTATAGCAATGCTCATTAAATACAAAGCAATTTAGCCATTAAACCCACTTGGTTTTTCATCTGAGGAAGTACCATCATATTGCATACTGGTATCTCACTATATATATACCTAGCCAATAAAAATTACACCTGACAGAGATTAAAAGGTGAGTGATAGCAACCTAATGCTAATATCTGCTGTACAATCCTACATTTTCTTGCTTGGTTTCAGGAGAGCTGGAATAGCTCTGCTATCTCTGATTTGCACTGTCACATGCCTTCTACCAGAGCATCTGAAGGACATGCTAAACTCAGCACAGTTCTTCCCAGAGATGACACTGTGTGCACTCATTACCCAGTAGAACAGTGTGTCACCTAACCTTGAGTCATCACTGAGTCAGTTTTAGCTCTTCGAGACTCAGTGCCATAACTTTCTGCTCAAAGTTCCTGAGTCATACAGGAGGAAGGCAAAGGGGAGACATAGCAAAATTTCATTTTACACAAATGCCTATTGACATGCCCAGGCTAAGGGCACATCTGTCAGGGTGCATGTAAGCACATCTGACTGCCAAGAGAAGGAAATATTTAAAAATGCTCAGCAATATACCGGTACAGCCATTCAGATCTTAGAACAAATGTCTGGATTCCGCAAATTTGATTGCCAGTATCAGATTGTGTGTCTCCACTGCCTATGAAAACCCATCTTTCACCAACATGTGTGTCTGCCTTCTCCCACTGCCAGCTCTTTCCTAACACATTTGAAGTAGGAAACAGAACTTGCACACAACTCCAACCTCTTTCCTATGAAATCAAATTATTAACTTTCACTAAAAATTATCTCACAGCATCACATCTGGATTAAAATACGTAATTGAAGGTTTTCATGCTTCCTAAAGAGTCAAGCCTAAGGTCATTTGGTTCTCTTCATAATAAATAAGAATTTCCATTTTCATACGTCACCTGATGGGAGACTGTGGATGGAAGACTCATGGAAAAACTAATGATAGACTCTTGATATGTATCAAGTGAAAAAAATTCCTTGTTTTGCCTGAGGAAAAAACAAGAGCCACCACCACAAATGCAGGTCAAATCAAGAGCTGAGCAATATCTGTAGGGAAAGGTCCAGTAGAGAATGAAAGCAAATGGATATAGTTGTTTATTTCCATTGGAGATATATGCAGGCATGAGTATGCATAAACTGACACACAGAAATATCACAGACAGAGAACACAACAGAAAGTCAAAGGCAGCTAGTCATTGTATGACCCTGACCAGAAAGAAACCCAGAAGGGTTTGTGAGGTGAATGCAGACTGGAAAACGAAGGAGTATGGGCAGGAATTATGAGACAAAAAGCCTTCTGCTTTTTGATTTCTGCTGCGCTGGGGAGATAAACTTCTATATACATTAGCAAATAAGTTTTATCAAATTAACATAAGATTTCATCCCAGTAATAGCAACCTGAAGAAACTTACGTTTTTGCCAAATGCTAGGACTACAAAAGGCAGAGATGTATCACATTTAGGCTCATGTCTAAGACTACTAACCTGCCTGTGAGGAACATAAGGCACAGTTCTGTGCTAACCAGGATCAGACTTGGGCTTCCTGAGCCACATGACCCTAACATGGACTAGGGAGGTAGGCAAAGATTGTTTATGCAACTCTCAGGAGCGGAGAAAGTATCTGGCTGTGAGTAATATCAGTACTGAGAGTCAGATAATATCTGAGCTGGCATAAAATATAGTGCATAATTGCCTGCTTCAAAAATCCCTTGAGCACACTGGAAAAGTCAGGGTTGCTTTGAACCAGTTCTGTGCCATACCATATGGCTGTGACATTTTAAATCCTACATTTAAATCCTGGTTCTAAAACCATATTTTCTATTCCTTGCAGCTACCGCCTAAGGATTTAAAGAGTAGGAAAACACTGCAATGATAGCAGCCAGCTAAGAGGCAACATTAAAGCAGAAGTATGCCTCAAATCCCATCCCTCTGTGGGGTTTATTGAATATAAATAGAGTAGCAGGAACAGAACAGAGATGCCTCGAGCACTCCTGTATTGTGTTTATTATCTGGCATGATGCACATGTATTTATTCCACATAAAACAGAAGCTTTAACAGGGGGAATGAGAACATCTTCAGTCTGCCCACAGTAGTTAATCCCAGGTTCAAATCACTTCAGAAAGATGAGAAAAGTTAAATCCTTCCCATCATCACCATGAAGTCTGAGCTATAATTAGTAGCTGAACAATTAAAAGAGGAATGAGATGGAGCAAGAACTTCCAGGGTTGCTCCATATGAAGCCCAATTCAAAAAGCAGCACTGCAACATGCTTACCAATCAGTCACAGAGGGAAGCTAAATAGTTTTGAAAGCCAGCTCAGACCTCAGGCCCATAGGGAGCTCCGCTGTGACAGCATTCTGCATGTGCCCTTTAGCTATCACCAGTGTGAGGACTACAAAGCAAGACTACCAATCCACATTTTGAAGAACTGAGACCACCAGTGAGGTGGTTCTTCAATTTCATAAGCTTTGGGACAATAAGAACCCAATGCCTGGACAAAAGCATTGGAATACACACACTGCCTGCTGCAGCCTTAGAGAGCCACCAGCTCTTCCCTCTAACTGCAAAACTGCGCTCTGGATTGTTGCCTGTTACGGCTACCTTGGGGCATTGAGGTTATGTGTTTGGGTATGAGAAGGGGGATACTTTATAACACCCCAGACAAATCTCTAGTGTAAAGTCTGCCAGGTCTAATAAGTCTCACCATGCAGGAATTATGATTCAAGGAGTTTCAGGACTAAGGGAAGCAAAGAAGAATGTGTTCGTTGCTTAAAGGACGGTCTAAATGTTATTTTTCCAAAGTCATTCATTAATATTTTTTTTTTTCACCCATGAGAGTCATACTCCTATAAATGCTGTTTCATATATTTAAAGGCATAAAAGGTGACCGGCCCCTACTTAAATGAATGAAAACAATGTTCCTTTCTAATCAGATTTTATAGGAGATCACTAATCAGCAATTTTTGAATGAGGAACTGTAGCCAGCTAATCCATATCCTCTGATGCCTTCACCTTCCCATTTACCTTCTCACTGCCATTGCTCACATGGTTATTTAGCCGATCAGATGCTAAAATGTTGGGTTGGCATTTATTCAAGCAAAGTAAGCCTTTTTATGCAGATCAAGGGAAAACACCTAAACAGTACTAAACCAAGGAGCAGATGTCTGCAGTTTATCTTACTTAATTTAATTTCAACAGAATTTACATAAGGTCCTCTTCATATTCAAGTTATCACATTAGGGAGTCTGGGCTTGTGGTGAAGATTGACAGATATTTGTGAAACTTTTCCAGCATTTGCAGAGGACAACCTTACAGATATGAGCAGAGAAATCATTGGAGTTCATTCACTCTTCCAGAGCTGGAAAGGACACAATGGATTACTTTTGGATTAGGTTCAGAATTTATATTCTTTTCAAGTATCTCATCTGATGCAACACAAAAATCTTGTATATTAAGTCAAGGTTCTTTAAGGTATATAGCCTTAACTGGCTCAGCTAAGTATCTCTGAGGGTTAATATTTTGGGTTATTTTGGAGGGGAACTTTAATGTCATTTACTTTAAATAATTTTCTGAACAGCTGTTAGCCACTACAGTCACAGAGTCCTGAAGACACTAGCTCTACTTCCCCTTCCTAACTTTTACACTACTCTCTCAAGGCCTTAGAGCAGACAACTTATTGTATTCACCCATCCCCGATGCTGGAAAGGAGGCTGAGAGGTCAGGATTAAATATATAATCCTCTCATTCTTCTGGAGAATCATGCTACCAGTACCAAAGTAAATGTTCATATTTTTTGTAGCTAATATTACAGCCTAGGAAGAGGGCTGCTATCCTGGCTGCTCTAGAAATTATCAAAGTAGACTTGGTGTTTGGAGTTTTTCAAAGGCAGCCCATCAAATGATAGTTCACTTTACAGGTTAGAAGTTAAGCATATAAGTATCAAGTGATCAAGAACCGAGAGACTCTACCACTAAAGCAGGCAAAATGCAATCTGTCAGTGATGCTCAGCATCTCTAGGAAGCAGTGGTTTCTACTTCATGCTGAGTTCATGCCCGTGAAACTGCAAAGCATCAATATCCCCTCTGGGCATCAGCCCTGCTGTGTACAATTTGGAGTCTGGAACCCTGCAGTACCAACCCATGATGGGGACAATCTCCACAGGTGACAGATGTGCACTTTTACAGTCCAAACTTTAATGGTAGATGTGGAGAACAGGGAAGCTTTCCAGTGCAAATCCAGTATGAGTCAAGGTAACCAAGAGCATTGTCAGACAAACATTGCGTATTCCCACAGGTCTCTAAGGCTGCAGAATACACAAGTTGACCCACCTTGGTGGGCATGCATTATGTTCAGTCTGTTCTTATGTCAAATGGGTAATTTCTTAAGAGCTGGCCTTTAGTTTTTCTCTTGCCAGAGTTTTTCTTGTGTGGTATATTAGAGTACCAGTTCCAGAAGAGCCAATGACTTTCATATTGCTGTGATAGAAGACACAAAATAAGTGCAGTATCACAACTGCTCTCACTACACAAGCAATACACGACATCAGATTTCAGACAAGGTATATTGTTTGTTCAAACCTCAGAAGAATTTTTATTTACTCTAGCACTAGAAGGCTCACTAGAAACACATACTAATTTAAGTAAAAGAAAAAAATATAATCAATCAACTTTTGCATTAAATCTTACTTGCTATTTGTCCAGGCCATTAGAAGTCAAATTTTTTTTTTCCTTCTTCATCTCAGACAGACTTTTTACTCCCAAGTACCTGTTGAGGAAAGAGTTTTTACTTTCATGAATATATATTTATTCATGTGTACATGAACATACAAATTTGAAAATGCAAAAACATTATCCATACTTAATCAGACTGTGCAGACTGTTTACTCATTGTGCTTCTATCTTTATCAATGAGTAGTAATTAAAAAATGCCTTTTAGCAGAATCTTTTAGCTTATTAAAAACTGTGTTATAATACATTTCCTACTACAGGAATCCTGATACAGTGGATTGTATCAAGAATTTCACAGCTGCAGCTGAATTATGCGCCACTATGAGAGGATGTGTACATTTGAGACTGGACTTTACACTTTCAGAAAAAGACTGGTCCCATCCCCAAAAATTTGCTTCTAGTCCAAAATCATAATAAGTGGGAGAAAGGAAGTATTGTTAACCATAATGTGTATATGAGGGAAAACAATACAAAGAAAGAATTTGCCCAAGATCACAAAGGAAAGCAGGAACAAAGGGAAGCTGGTAATTGAACCCAAATGTTCTAAAACACAGTTCCATTGCCTTAATACTAACTTATTTAATTTATGTTGCCTTTAATTTTTTTCACTTCATTTAAATATTATGGTACTACCTCGCAGAAATAAAAAAAAAAATAAAAAAAAAATGGAGGGAAAGCAGGTGTCAAGAATTTCTTGGGAAAAAAAGCAAGCAAAACAAGAGATTTGTGCTTTCTCCATACTGACTTGTCTGCAGTCTTCATTGTAAGAACACCACACGACTTTGATAGCTTCCTCAGTTATTTTAAATAGATCATTTTTATAACTGATAATGTAAAGCAGTCTGCTACTGAATTAAAGATTAAATCAAAAGCCTTGAGTCATTGTGAGAGTGCATATTATTCAGGGATCCTGTTTATTATAAGGGTAATTTTACCCCTTAATACCCCTTGAGTAAAAATGCTCAAAGTAATGACCTTATTGTCAATTATATTCCCAGAAGGAATGAGTCTTAACTGTCATACCAGAATAGTCCGATCATTTTGAAAAATGACAAACTGGATGATCTGTACACATTTTAAACAACTCCATTTCACCTAATATTTTTCTTAGTAAATTTGCAAGCTGGCAACTTTTATATGTTCCCAACATTTTCTTCATTAGCAGGACAAAGAGAGAACTTCTTTCTTATTCAACACACAGTCCAGCTGAAGTCCAGCATTCAAGTAGACAGCAGAGAGGGGAAACAAATAAGCATCCCAGGAAACCTGTAAAACACTAACCTTAAAGTACAGCTGGTTAAAGAAACAGCTTGTTTTTCTGGCAGCAGGCAGAAAATTGTCTCCATTTTATCCACTGGCATTCCCAGAAAATACAGTATTAAAGGCTTCACTGACCTGGAAGAGAGGAAACCCAGGCTCTGGCCACAGACTAGTGGGGCTGTGTGACCTTCTGTTCTACACTTGGTTTCCCTGACTTAACATCAACACATAAGTTAGTCAATGGAAAGCTTATTGAGAGATAACAAACTCATCCAAACTAGATGTCTCACATATGGCTACAAAAACCCATGCCTGAAATTGCTTTTCTTTCTCTCCTTTAAGCAGAAAACGATTTCTTGGAGCTTGCTTGTCAGAGAAGGTGTAAACTTGGTGAAACAAATAATGGCCCAGCCTGTTCTTCAGGCTTTTAAAGCAAGTAGTATATTTGTTAGTTGTGTGTCATTCCCACTATATTAAGATGTATAGGAAAGACACTGAGCTCTTAGAGGAGGTTTGGAGGAGGGCTGTGAAGATGATCAGAAGGCAAAGAGTTGACAGACAGCTGGGGCTGTCCAGCCTGGAGAAGCAAAAGCTTCAGAGAGATTGGTATAGAAGCCTTCTAGTACCAAAAGGAGGCTAATAAAAATTATACATAGGTATCTCTTACCAAGGCCTCTAGTGACTTGAAAAGGGGCAACAGTTTTAAGTTGAAGACAGATTCAGGGAGAATATATAAGGAAGATAGTCTTCAAAATGAGGGTGGTGAGACACTAGACAAGATTTCCCAGTGAAGTTGTGAATACTTCATAAATGGAAATGTTCAAGATCAGTCTGGATGGGACTTTGAACAACTCAATCTAGTGTAAGTGCCCCTGACCATAGCAGGGTGGGTAGAAATAAATGACCTTTAATGGTCCCTTCTGTTCCAAATCTTTCAACTGTTCTATGAATTTTTAAAAAAAAAAAAAAAAGTCTTCAACACACCACAAATTCAACCAAAATTCATGGTCAAGATAGCATTCCTTTCAGGCCTGGATTTGTGATATTTCTGATGTTTCATCCCAATGTTCCTGCCCTCATGAGCTCCTCTTTTTGTGATATAAATATGTAGCATTGCTGTAGCATGTGGGAAGGTTATTCATGGCATGGCTGGCTTGCACTATTTAAGTTACTATATATATACATCTCAATGCCTTGCAAGCCTTGTTTTGTTAACACATCTCTGGTATTGATTTTAACAGTTGTGCACATGTTCTTAAAGGCTATTTTAGCACAAGGCCCCTTAAAGCTTTTGAAGCGAATCAGTCCCTTTGAGAAGTGACAATTTACAGACACACAGGAAGCATGACAATTTTGCCAGCTGGATCTGAAGCAAGGAATGGAAACAAGAAAATGTTTCCTTAATTTAAATAAGGACTGACCCCTTGTAATTATTTCTAGATCTCAGTCATCTCCTATGAACCTGTTCTATGTTTTTCAGGGACCCTGAAATACGGGTGTGGTACAGATGAAATACAGTTTCATCTGAGGAAGGAATATGGTCCTAATCCATGCTTCAAACTTGAACCCAGGTGTCCAACAAGAATTGCTCAGAGCTGACAAGGCAGAAACATGAAAGTAAGAGCTGAAAAACCTTGAAAATACACCACTTAAAGAAAACATGGATCCTGTCCCTAATTTACCCTATTTTGAAACAAAATCTGTAAAATCTTGTACAGCCTTGGAGTAATATTGAAAAAAAAATCCTCTTGGCCAAAAAAGTACCAAATTTTAGAATTTATTTGAAGATATGGCGTATTTCAGTGGGGAAAAACAATTGTTAAAAGTCAAAACAGCTTTTTTGCCATTATTACAGCAAAAGAATTTTGAGTTCAGACTGACGGTTGCCTCAGCATTTACCTTTACTTTTATTTTGGTTTTATAGTTTAGTATTTCTCAAATTATCTCCAATGAAATATTCTAAGCCTTCAGATTTTTAAAATGATGAGCACTGCCCTTCCTAAAGAAATCATTTCAGGTCAGTGTGAATGGAATTTTTTCAGTCAGTGAACTGAAAAAATCAATTATTCCAAGAGCCATTGCAGTGCACAACTCAAGGGCAATGTGAGACCAGGAGACAAACTGGGAAAGAAGAACTGACCGATCCTGCCTTAATACTTTTCAATATAGTACTACCCAAACTTTTTTCAATAGGTTCCCTGTCAAAGCTTTCAGTTGAGTCTCATATCTTGCTCAGACCTTGCTAGGGTTGGTGTTAACAAAAATAAGCAAACAAAACAACACAAGCAAAATAAAAGCAAGGAAGTTCTGCAAGTAGAAGCTGAGAAGAGTATAAATATATTTTCATTATTTAGTTGAACTGGAAGCCACCTTGAGAAATATTTTATCAGTATTTAAATACTTCTTCAGATGCATAACCCTCTCCTACCTCCTCTTTTTTTCATCTCATTTGCTATAACTAGCTTGGGAAAAAATTGGAGGATATAACACATAACTTCAAGACAGTATATATGTGATTATAGTGATATCGTAGTGATGAATAACACTGCAGAAAAACAGAAGTTTTGTTAATATCCGAGTTCTCCAAAAAGCAACTCAAACCAAATCTAGATCTCTGTTAAAAAACATAGGTAAGGATAGAAATTCTGTTTTCTCCTCTTCCTGCACACAAGGCCAAGTGAAATATAAGTCACATCAAACTCAGGATCCAATATTGCATACAGTAGATCACCTAGTTCTGTGTGCACCAATATATTCTGTTATCAAAACATTTTGATATTTAGGGGAAAATAATTTAATTTTTCACTTATCATTGCTTCCCTATTTCTCTACAGCAAAAGTTAAATTGATTTCAGTGTAGAGCATTAGATAGGATCTGTGTCTGTAAAGTGGTAGGATCACATGAAGTTTGCCATCTGGCCATGGGGCATAAATGTAGAATTAGCATCATGCTTTAGCACTTGTGACTCCCTTGCTTAGATGAATTTACAAATAGCTTGACATCCTGCAACAAGATTTTGAAGTAGTCTTCTTCCATAATCCTGCTAAAGATGAAAATAATTGAGGTGCCAAAATTAAGTGACCTAATTCTCATATGGGAACAGTATTTTCCTACTGACAATAACACTTATCTGAAATAATTTTTGGGTTCTGATTAAAAATATCTAAGGCCATTGAACAACATTTATGAAGGAGTAAAGGAAAAGGACAGTAAATTAATCTTCATTGAATTGAGGATCAATGCCTTTTGCCTTTAAGCAACACTACTTAAAAGTCAGTCTGTTGCCTGAAAGTAATGTGCTTTTTATTGTTTGGCATAACTCCAAGGGTTGTTATAACTACAAAAACTGGAAAAAATTAAAAACTGTTTCTGGTTCTTTTTAGTCTGTTTACTTCTACATTTATATGCACTCTGTGTATCTTCAGTTTCATTGTTTTTCATGTTTCTGTGACTCTTTCACACTGTAATAGCAGAACGAAAATCGTGACTGCAAAGTCTTTAGAATTTCCAGAGCAACCACAGAGTAGGAGTTTTATCTGATACTACTTTTAATGCTTTTTAAAATAAATGAATGTATTTCAAGTTGATAGGTCTTTTTAAATCCTTCTGCTCTGATAATCTGTATTTCTGATTATCCTATGCATAAGTACCAGCTTGAATTTTTCAAAGTGAAACCTCATTTCCTTATTTTCTGCAAAGCTTTGCAACATACAGTTTTGGATTTTCCCACTGATGATGAGATGAGGATTTACATGACATTTCTAAGTTCTGAGAGT